AATTGCCCCCAACAATACATTTAATAAACAGTTTGTTATCCACAGCACGTCTAGTTTTTCTGGATTTCAAGGTGAAATTGAGAGGACAAAATGGAATATCTGTATCGGTTGGCAGATTTCTTCCTGGAATTTGATGAAAACAAGTCGGCACATGTTTACAGTATGCAAAATAGAATAACACTGTGGATAAGTTGGCCGAAACATTTTTGCTGAAAATGTTTTAAAAAAAAACAACACTTGGTTGAATTCTCAGAGAGGCGATATTTTCTTGTCAAGGGGCAGGGGTAGTCTAGCATTATTGGAATTAATTATGTGACTAGTATATGCTCTAATTTTGCAGGTGGGACTTGTACTTGCCTTATTCGGAAAAGATCTTTAGAAGTGAATGGAATCATCACATTGTCATTTGTTAAACAACGGCTTTTGCAGGTCCTATGCAACCCATTTGATGGGCGACGCACGACGGACGACGGGCGATGCACAACGGGCGACGCACGACGGAAAATGGCATGTTTAGAACTGGTAAATGGCAGAATTGGGACACAACAAAAAGCAAAATGCGACGGACGACGGGCGACGGCAGATATGGAATTCCATAACATTTAGCCAATGCGTTAAAAAAAACTCCGGGTGTCTGCCTTGGGAGCTTTACCTGGTGTGATCGGAAGCGTGTTGAGTTGGCTATTTAACGGCGTGAGTAGGCCCTAAAGTCGTTGGTTGGGCTGCTGAGCATCTGTGGGCTTTGTTTTAGCCGTGGGTGCGTTGGTGCTAGGTTATTTGGTGGGAAAAAAAATAAAAAGTGGGACGTTTTAATACTTCGCTCAAATTGAGCGGGGGATTAATTTTTTGTAGGTTAAATTATTTCACAAACCAAATTAAAGCCAGTGAAATTGCAACAATATCGAGTGCTAGTGCCAGGTTTTCGTCTTGGTGGGTGTCTAGGGTAGATACCGTGGATATTCTTTTGTTAATTTTTTTGTTGTGCCGATTGTGTTCACTGTACCGACTGCGTTGACCGTGCCGACTGCGTTGATTGTGTTGATTGCGTTGATTGTGTTGATTTGTGTTGACTATGCCGA